CCCCCCCCCAGTGGATAGAAGTAAGGTTTTGATTGACTTCATCCTGTTATAAATAGCCATCTGTTTATATTCTAAAAAGCAACAACTGGGATTACTGGGTACTAGTTTTGTGCCACATGTTACATTATTGCCTGTGAATATCTTATACATTAAGAGATCTTCTCTTAGGATGGGAATATCTAAGGCTTAGAAATATTTTTATAGGTATTTTTAAATGTATAAATCTGTAGTCATTTTTAATACTTGAATCAAATGGTTGAATATGAATAGAGATGGTGATAAGGAATGTATCAAAAGTAAATTGTGGCTTTGTGACAGTTTCATGGCAAGAGTGATAAAATATTGACAACTATATCTTTTTTTTGCAGTAAAATATGGAATTAGTTGGAAATTTACTAAAATAATGTAGAAACATAATTTAATTTCTCCTCACTGAAGTAAATTTAGTAATTGTGTTGGCTGTTAAATAACAGGATGTACATTTTTAATGAAGTGGTTTAAACTACTTTAGAGAAGAAGGATCTAAAAGCAAAGTTCAAATTAAAATGGTTTTTTTTCTAGGTGTGATATTTGAAGTTAATGACAGGCTTTTAAAACTAGTTCATCCTTCAGTGAGTCCATGTTCTGTATAAGATCTGACATATGTCAGTACTTTTTTATAATTCAAGTTAGGATTTTGCTTTTGGAGCATACTTAGGGTAAAGGAAAGAATATCTTTATTTGGGTGGGGGTTGAGACTTGATGTAGAGATTTGTCAATGTAGTATTTATGTATGTATTCCATCCAGATTGGCAATAGCAAATGTGTGTGTGAGATAAGAGAAAAAGTAGAATCATTGAAACAAGGCTGTAAAGGGAATCTTTTGAATTGTCAAATATCTGCCTCAGTCTTCTCTTCTCCTGACTAAATAATCCTACTCTTCCAACCTCATAAGTCTTGTTTCCTTGTGCTCAAACTGGACACAGTATTCCAAGTGAGGCTTCACCAGTGCTGACCAGGAAAATAGTGTGTTGGGAGTATTACTGAGTTGCTTTGGGGAAAAATGTGGGAAGGGGGAGTGGAGACATGAGATAAATGTTGTATAAAGTGTTTTGATTCTTTTTTTTTCTGTGCCAGAGTTTCAGATGTAACTTGTCCAGAGTTAATTGAGTTAAATGTGAATTTCACTTGGCTTTTTATTTTATTTCAGAGAAAACATGCCAAGTCATTTCAAATTTAAGGAATATTGTCCCATGGTTTTCCGCAACCTGAGAGAGAGGTTTGGAATAGATGATCAGGACTTTCAGGTAGGCTCCATATTAAAATACATGTAAAAGTACTATTTCACAGCTTAAGGGTCTCTGAGAAGGAAAAGGGTCAGTTTGGGTAAATCCAGCCATGGATCTTTGATTTATATTTCCAAGTGTGTCCATGTGTGCTTGTCCAAAGTGAGCTTTTCCCACCTCTCTTGGATACAGTTGAGATTTAAACTGACACGTACTGATTCCAAGGTAGAAATGAAGTACTTAACTTTTTGTGCAAGTATAGGAGTTCTAGGCCGAGGTGTTTGAAATGAAGTGATGGTGGTGGTATTTTTAAATCAGAAAATGGAGAAGAGGTTTGGAGTCTGCTTAGACTACGAATACTGACTCTGGAGGGTGAAAGCCTTGTTGGAGAAACATGTTTGTATTTCATCTTATTGGAAAAAAGAGTCTCAGGTTCCTGTCTTCTGATTTCCCCCCTCCCTCCTCCGCCCTTGAGTCTTCAGCATCTTAATTCTCTGCTCTTTTTCTCCTCACCTATTCTCCTTTGTCAGGGGAGCAGAAGGCCAGACACAACCCATTTGCAACTTTTCTGTTGTTGATTATAAATGTGCCTCTTACATAATAAGAGGAGCCATGTTTGCACAGCACTAAATAGTAGTTGTGTCCAGCAGTTCAGCCTCTTCAGAGATGCATTGTTATTTTGAACATGATGTCAAGGACAGGTATGGCCCTTTGCATGCGACTGTCTCCTGCTTACCCTCTTTTCTATCAGAAAATAATAATACCATATTGGAGTCTCTGCTCTGCCCACAAATCTAGCAATATTCACTTGCTACATTGGGTCTCATCTTCCTTTTGTTACTGTGATTCAGTGTTAGGATACTATGCAGAGCATCTGAGCAAAAAGCATGTGCGCCACAATAAGGGATTGACTAATGTACTTTTTAGCCACTTAAATGGAGAGGGGGACCTTCCTCTTGGGAGCAAGTCAGGTTGTTAGGTTCTGTTAGTCTACACAAGTCTGTAGTAATCCAACTGAGCTATATTGCCTAAACTTTGGCTGTGAATGGAGCAGTGTTAAAGTTGGAGTGTTTTTGCTATACTTGCATCTCCGTGACTTTGTAGCATTACAAGTGCTTCATAATAGCTTATATCAGTACTGTATCCTCTGATTTACCATATTTACTGAAATAGAAGTAATTAGTAATTAGATCCTATATATGGAAAATTTATAAATTGGTTATAATTTTCCAGGTAAAATTTAATTATTGGATGCTTGTCTTGAATTTATCTCTCTCCTACTTCAACAACAGGGAAAAAAGATCTGAGAGGGTTGAGTAGTCCTGTTACCCCAGCTGCTTCCTCCTGCACAGTTCTGTCCCCCCCTCTCCCCCATTACTGTCAGACCCTGCTCTCCCAGAGCACATGGAAATGAGGAACAAATTTGAAAAAACGGAACTTTAATAAACATACCTGTAGCAATCTGCATATAATCGTCATAGACTTAGTTCACCCATAAATGGTTCATTTTACGTTTTTTGAAACTGATACAAGTATTAGCACAGGCATTCCATAAACACATCTTTTAAGTAGAACTTTGGCACCTACTTATACAAAGTACAAACTGTGCGTGATATTAGTCCAAAGTCAAAAGGATCATGAGCAGTTCAAAGATAGGCAACATATTTAACGTGCTTTCCTTGTATGCAAATGTAAGAGTAGGGGGCTCTTCCCCGCTTGTTGACTGGAAGGAGTCCTCCTCTTATATTCAAGTAAATATGGCAAATTACAGTTGTTACATCTGCCTGCACCCTCAGAGAACATTGTGGATTCTGGCATCATTAGAAGATGCTTTCCCACCCAAAATTAGAAGCATGTGATTATTAGCTGCTTCAAATTACTCAGGAATATTGTAAGATGCTTGTATGGGATTCCTGAACAGGAAAGAAGTTAAACAGTCAAATTAGTTACTGTGAATTACTCATAACATGCTACTTCTGTGTTAAATTGTCTAGTACTTCATGTCTAAAGGGTACACTCTTAATAATTAAAACTTTCTCTACTGAGTATGTCGTTTCCCCATTTCATTTGCCAAAACACAGTTGTTCCTTCCCTCTAAATTCCTAATGGAACTTGCACTAATACATCTTCATTTTATTTACTGTTTATTTGTACAGCCAAAGCTGTACTGTTGGTGAAGTCAGTGGCAACATTTGTACCTATGGGAATAGATTTAAATAGTTAGTGTTACCATAGATCCAGTTCCAATATTGCTTTTCCTAACCTCAGTTTGTATGGAAGTTTTCCTTTTTCTTTTTTCAATAAATAAAGAAAACCTTATGGAAGCAAATTTGAAAGAGGATCTGCTTGCCATGTGCTTTTTCCAAGAAAACTTGCCAATTGATATTGAAGGGAAATGTGTGTTTCTTTGCAGATCTTGAACAAGCTTACATTGCTTGGAAAGTTCCTTCCCTTGCTTCAAAAAAATGCACATACCTCAATATTCATACAGGTACTACAAAAGATAAGGAGCACAGTGCAGCCTTCACTGAGGTCTCAAGAACCTTCAGTTTCCCAGGTTATCAAAATGTGCCCGTCTCAATGCAACACACTACTACACCAAACATCTACAGTCAGTAACATTGGGAAGAGAATTTAAGGCTTTTTTTTCATGGGAGTTTTGACCTTTTTAAATCAAAGTTTTGGAAAATGTGTTGGTTTTCCTGCCCTTCAGCAGAAGAGATCTCACTGTTCCAGAGAGGGAGGCAGATGGAATTGTTACAGCTTGGTAAATCTAAATAGTAAAGCTTATGTTTTGAAATACTTGGGGAAAATTAGGCTGAAATCAGTAGGTAAGGCCATGACACAACTTTTCCTTCTGGATTACCATATGTAATAACAGAGTACTTAATGTCATTAGTTTAACTTGGTATTGGGTGGCATAATACAAATGAAAACAGCATTCAGATACATGAACGGCATATTAAAGAGGATGGAGATGGGCTTTACCATGTGACTGTAGGGAACGGGACTAGAACCTCAAACAGGAGAGAAAATTTAGGTTAGATTAGGAAGAATTTTCTGACTGAAGGGTGGTCAAGCACTGGAGCAGGTCACCTTGAAAAGTTGTGGAATCTCCATCCCTGGAAATCCATAAGAGCAGATTAGATGGACACTTGGCTGGGATGGCTTAGGCAAAATACAGGGTAGATTTGCATCTTTATAGACTAAATTGGAGATGCATAAGCTTTTGCAAGTACAGGTTTACTACATCAGATGCTAAGAAGGGGTAGTTTGGTCAGGGATGATCCTGCCTTGAACAGTGGACTAGATGGCCTCATGAGGTCCCTTCCAACCCTCCTTTCCTACAGTCCTACTTGAGAAATGATGAAAGGGGTTTCAAGATGTATTTAAGACCTCTATCGCTTGAGTTTTCAACACTTAAAAGTACTGATTGAAACCTATACTGCCTTAATCTAAATTAAATCAATGCAGAGGATACTGGGGAGAATTCTGTTAGTACTCTCCCCAGAGTTCTGTTAGAACTGGGGGGGTGGGCATTTCTTACTGACCTGAAGATTTGGGAAATACCACTACCTTGATGCAAAAGATATTCAAATATGGGGGGAGAAGCAGGGGAGAGGGGAGGGAGAGTTGGCAGGACATTTAAAGAATCTCATAATGCTGCTGAATTAAATACTGACATTCCTATCCCACTAAGGCATAGAACGTTGCTGTGTATTGTAATAGCCTCCAAGTTTAAACAATTACAGGGTAGAAATCAATTATATATTTTTACTTACCTTCCCCACGTAATAACCAAGCAATGGCCTAATAACTAAGGAGGCAGTGAAGGTTTCTACCATGGACAGTAAGTTCAGTGATGACAGTCTTGGCAGAAATGGGGCAAAAAACCCTGAAGCTTTAGGAAATCTCCAACTGAATTAGTTTGCATTCACACTTCAAAAATTACATGTATAGAAACATACTGTGAATCTTTTGAGAAGAGGTTTATTAGCAAAGGGCAGCCATATACTTTGTATTTAAACATGGAGATTTCTATCTAACACCCCTTCTTAAGTAATGATGGCAAAATAGTAGCTAAAATACTGGTTAGGTGGGTTAAAACTTGTTTCAGAAATAATCCACTGTGGTGCACGAGTTGTAGTTCACAGTAATGAATTTGGGGTGGTGCTTAATCTTACTGGTATAGACCAGCTTGGAACATAAATACATTCAGTGGAGCAAAAGTGAGACTCTATCAATTCATTACTATTGTAGCATACTCCTCAGCAGTATTCTCTGTTGCTTCTTGTTAGAATATCTAGGCAGGCCTTGGCTCATTACTGTGAAATGTCCCACAGAGAAGCAGTCCAATTTGGCAAAGATAGGCAAATAATATCTCTTTACAACTTTTTATTTTGTGATTCATGTTCAGCAAACTGTTCCATTGAGCATGCTGCTTTTATAATTTACTAGGGTTTGATAAATTGGGAGAAATCTATAATATTTTCATTGAGAGGAGGGATTATGGAACAAGTAGTGATTAATTTAGTTCAGATAAATTTAATTACCTGGAATATTCTTGACAAGCAAGGAATACTAATTAACTTTGAACAACAGTATTCCCTTTATTAAGCAAGATGAGACTAATATAAATAGGCCCATTTGCCTCCTTCATTAATTGGACACTTCATTATAATTAAAGTGAATGTTCTTCCCAAATGTCTGTTTTCTAAATATGTCCTTGATATATTGTGCCAGGTAATAAGTAATTTTTTTTTAAAGTAAGGAAAGCCAGAACACCTAGAATAAATATAAAAACTGCCTTTTCAGTCTCCTGAAAAGAGAAACTTGGAAGTGTCGTCTCCTTAAAGTGTGTGTGGTCCAGTATTCATGGTGGAAACAACGTGGTTCCAGAAACACACAACTCTATATTTACAAAATGGCTTGTGGGCATCTATAGCAATAGCATGAATTATGGATCCTGAACCATCATCATTCTTATTACAGACCCTTTTCCTTGAGATAATTAAAGCCAC